GCGGTGTAATGGCTGGGTATCTATTGTTCTTTGCGAGTGTTTAGTGCTATCCTTCACCAATCCTCCTTCGATGGGCAGGCCTGGTGGTGGACAACCATCCCTCATAAACATCTGCTTGTCTGTAAAAGGATTCTATTTCTCCTTGGCACTGAGGAACTTAGTTGGCGGATATGAAATTCTGGCGTTAAAACTCTTGTCTTTAAGAATGATTGAATATTGGCACCCACTCTCTCTGGCTTGTAGAGTGTTCTGCCGAAGAGCTCTGCTCGTTAGTCTGACGGGCTTCCCTTCTTGTGGGGTAACCCGACCTTTCTCTCTGGCTGCCCTTAACATTTTTTCCTTCATTTCAACTTTGGTGAATCTGACAATTATGTGTCTTGGAGTTCCTCTTCTAGAGGAGTATCTTTGTGTTGTTCTCTGTATTTCTGAATTTGAATGTTGGCCTTCCTTACTAGGTTGGGGAAGTTCTCCTGGATCATGTCCTGCAGAGTGTTTTTCAACTTGGTTCCATTTTCCCCATCACTTTCAGGTACACCAATCAGACGTAGATCTGGTCTTTTCACATAACCCCATATTTCTTGAAGGCTTTGTTCATTTCTTTTTACTCTTTTTGCTCTACACTTCTCTTCTCGCTTCATTTAATTCATTTGATCTTCAATCTCTGATACTCTTTCTTCCAGTTGATTGAGTTGGTTACTGAAGCTTGTGCATTTGTCACGTAGTTCTCCTGTTACAGTTTTCATCGCTATCAGTTCTTTTAAGGTCTTCTCTGCATTGATTATTGTAGTTATCCACTCATCCATTCTTTTTTCAAGTTTTTTAGTTTCTTTGCACTGGTTACATAGTTTCTCCTTTAGCTCTGAGAAGTTTGATCTACTGAAGCCTTCTTCTCTCAACTTGTCAAAGTCATCCTCCGTCCAGCTTTGTTCTGTTGCTGGCAATGAGCTGCATTCCTTTGGAGGGGGAGATGCGCTCTGATTGTTTGAATTTCCAGCTTTTCTGCCCTGCTTTTTCCCCATCTTTGTGGTTTTACCTGCCTTTGGTCTTTGATGATGGTGATGTGCTGATGGAGTTTTGGTGTGGGTGTCCTTTCTGTTTGTTAGTTTTCCTTCTAACAGTCAGGACCCTCAGCTG